AAATGAAAAATTGTGACAAATCAGGGCCTTTTTTCTGGAAAGCCCATCATTTAACATTTACCAGCACATCACAGCTCCTCTGTAATATATGACACATGTTAAAAAATTTTTTTAATCCTAAAACAAATTTCCCTTGGAGAGCATGGATTCTAGAGCCAGCCTGCCTCTGTTTAAACCCCACCCACACCCTGTACTTGGGCAGGTGTCTTAGTCATCTAGTGCTGCTCTGACAGAAATACCACAAGTGGATGGATTTAGCAAAGAGAAGTTTATTCTTTCATAGGCCAGTAGGCTACAAGTCCAAATTCAGGACACCAGCTCCAGGAGAAGGCTTTCTCTCTCTGTCGGAACTGGAGGAAGGTCCTTGCAATGCATCAGTCTTCCTTTGGTCTGGGAGCATCTCAGTGCAGGAACCGCAGGTCCAAACGACACGCTCTGCTCCCGGCACTGCTTTCTTGGTGGTGTGAGGTTCCCATTGTCTCTGCTCACTTCTCTCTTTTATATCTCAAAAGAGATTGGATTAAGACACTATCTAATCTTGTAAACCTCGTCAGCTTAACCTCATCATAGTGATAGAGTTTACAACACATAAGGAAATCACATCAGATTACACAATCATACAATACTGGGAATCATGACCTAGCCAAGTTGCTACACACATTTTTGGGGGGACATGATTTAATCCATGACAGCAGGTTACTTCAACGCTCTGTGCCTCAGTTTCCTCGTCTATAATGTGGGGATGATCACAGTCCCAACCTCATAGTGCAGTGGCTTTCAAAAGTGTGGTCCATGAACACTAACAGATACTTGTACACCAATGTTCATTGCAGCACTATTCACAATAGCCAAAAGGTAGAAACAACCCAAGTGCCCATTCACAAATGAATGAATAAACAATATGTGGTACATACATACAGTGGTGTAGACATACAATGGAGTGTTACTCTGCCATAAAGAGAAATGAATTCCTGGTGCATGCTACAACACAGATGAACGTTGAAAACATTATGCTAAGTGAAGTAAGTCAGTCACAAAAGGACAAATAGTACATGATTCCACTTATATGAAATACCTAGAATGGGGGCAAATGTATAAAGACCACATCCAAGGCAAAATAATTGGTCTGTGTTCACCTGGAGCAACAGAGGAAGAAGGAGAGTCAAGAATAGGAGGAGGAAATGGAATGTGTGGCTAATTATCTCCGTGAACAACTGCCTCCTTTGCCATGAGACCAGAAGAACTGGATGGTGCCTGGCTACCATTACTGGACATTTTGATCAAAGATTTCCTAGAAGAATCCTGATCAAAAGGGGGGAAATGTAGAACAGAACTTCAAATTCTCATGAACTCCAGACTTCCTGAAGCCATGGAGGCTGGATGAACTGCTGAAACTATTGCACTGAGATAATCTTTAAACCTTAGACCAAAAATATCCCCTGAAGTCTTCTTAAAACCAAATAATAGTTTAGCTTAACTAGTGAAGAATGTCTGCCTTGAGCACTGTGCTCTTTTAAGAACTATTTATATGGGATCAAAGTGACAATAGCAACTCGAAAGTTTAGATCGGAACCTTAGTGGGCAGTGAGTTTATATTAATGGCAGATGAACGATTCAGAAAAAGAGGGTGAGAATGGTTGCACCACTAGAGCAATGTAATCAATGTCACTGCGTTGTACATGTAGAACTGGCTGAATTGGTGTCTGTTTTGCTGTGTATAGCCTCAACAATAACAACAAATAAATAAGTAACATTTTTTAAAAATGTGCAGAGACCACAGTTTATTAGTAGTTACCAGGGGTGGGAGGGAAGGGGAAAGGAGGAGTCATTGCTTAGGGGGTACTGAGCTTTTGTTAAAAGCGATGGAAAAATTTAGGAATGAATAGTGGTGATGGTCACACAACATGGTGAAGGTGATTAATGTCACTGAACTGTACATGTAAAAGAGTTGAAGTGATAAATGCTTTGTTATATACATACATATATACATATACTTAACGCAATTAAAAAGAAAAGTCTGGTCCATGGAAGCAGCATGGGTGTCCCCTGGGAATGTGTTAGAAATGCAGATTCTGGGTCACCCTGGCCCTTCGGAATCAGAAGCTCTGCGGGTGGGACCCAGCAATCTGTGTTTAACAAGCCTTCTGGGAGATTTCGACGCTGACTCCAGTTTGAGAACCATTGTCATAGGTTGTTGGGAGAATTACACAGGTACAAAATGCCCCAAAGCCTGTACTGGGGAGTGTTCACTGTTACTCCTGCTGTTTTGGTTATTGTTATTATTATAGAAGAGACCTGGGACTCCAGCCTACGGGGTCTAGCTGCACCCTCTCGGCCAGCCTTGTGGGGTCAGGGTCTGGGTCAGACTCGAGACCTTCTCCCCTGTCTGCGTGGAAGATGTCAGTGAGCCGGGCCACGGCACCCTATCCCTGGTGAAAGGTTATCGCTTGGTCCAGGAACTGGAAAGGTCAGAGTCGGGGGGCCATGCTTGCCTCTCCTCTGCTGGGGGAGATAAAGGAAGTCACTCAGCTCCTGGACACAGGGTGGGGGCAGGCAGGAGATATAAATAGGGGCCTAGAGCCAGCAGAGTCATCACCCCAGGAAGCTGCTAGCCTAGCCCTCTCCCGGGGCTGAGGCGCCTCTGTCTAGCATGGCCAAGCGCATGCTGCTGCTGCTGCTGGAGGTGTGGGTGCTGGCTGGGGAGTTGTGGCTGCGGGCTGAGGTGCAGGCAGCACCCTACAGCGTGAAGCTTTGCGGCCGTGAGTTCATCCGAGCAGTCGTTTTCATCTGCGGGGGCTCGCGATGGAGACGGGCAGACGTCCTGACCTACGAAGCTATGGGTGAGGCTGGGCAGATGGTGGAGGAGGTGGGATGGCAGGATGGGCCCAAGGAGCCAGGGACAGAGATGCAAACTGGGGCCAGGGTAGTAGGGTCGCCGGCCCCCCACATCCAGCTTGGGAGAGCAGCCCAGCCCTCCAAGGGCTCGTGGAGCCCTGAGCAGAGCTGCAGAGCTCGGATGGGGGCTAGAAGTCAGAGCACAGTCTGCTAGTTCCTCAGCACTTCTATGTGCTGAGTCTGTGCTCGGCGGGCTGCTGCTTGCACAACTCCAGGAGACGCCATTCACGAAGTGCTTCCAGCCCTCTGGGGCAGGTAGTATGTGGGGTGTGGTGGGTATAAGGCCAGGTTTTGCTGCCTAATAGGTGTCCCGCCTTGGCAAGTCGCTACCCCTCTCTAAGCCTCTTCATCTGTGGAACAGGACAGAGAGCTCCTGTTAAGTGGCAGAGTTGAGTTGAAACAGATAAGGACATGGTCTATGCAGGGTAGGGGGCACAGTCTGGGCATGATGGGGCAGGGGGCCTGGTGTCATTGAGGGCAGGGTCCTGGCAGAAAACATGTTCATGATGATGGGGTGATGGAATGTGGACACAGAAGCACACTGGTGCGTGTGTGTGTTCAAATAGCAGCTCTACAACTTACTACCTGTGTGTTCTTGTACAAGTTACTCCACCTCTTTAGGCTTCAGTGTCCTCTCCGGAAAATGGGGTGATCAAATCAGCCCCCTCCCCATGGCGTTGACATTGAGAAGAATAAAGGATTTAATCCACAAAAGCACTTAAAACAGTGCCTGGCACACAATAAGTGCTCAATAAGTCATCGAGGCTGTTTAAGTGCTTATTACATGCCAGACATCGTTCCACATTTTTTTAAAAACTCATTTACTGCTTACAAAACCCAGGAAGGTAGGAGTTATCATTTTCCCCATTTTACAGACAAAGAAACTGAGGCTAAGAGAAGCAAATTCACTTGCTCACTATTTAACTTAAAAGACGCTGTATCCACGCTCAGTCAGCCTGGCTGCATGCTCTTAGCCATCAATTGCTCAATAAATAAACAGAAAGGGGAAGGAAATGACAGGAGAGGAAAGTCAAACTCAGTGAGGCTGAATTATCTGTCCATAAGAGATGGTGGCAGAGCCAGAATTTGAACCCAGGCCTCACTGGAATAAAAAAACTTTACCCAGAGACCAGTCACAAGAAGGAAGCAGCCAGGCCAGACAGGAGTCAGGATTTCGCGTGTGCAGAGCCAAACCCCGAACACCAATTCTCCTTATCTTTTGCAGGGGACGCCTTCCAAGACGCAGCCACCGACTCGGACAGCCTGGCGGGCGAGCTGGATGAGGCAGTCGCCTCCAGCGAGTGGTTGGCCCTGACCAAGCCCCGCCAGGCCTACCCCAGTGGCCAGTCCAGCTGGCAAGGAACCCCAGGGGCTCTGCGGGGTGGCCGTGATGTCCTGGCTGGCCTCTCCAGCAACTGCTGCAAGTGGGGCTGCAGCAAGAGTGAAATCAGCAGCATCTGCTAGCCAGGAGTGTCGGGCAGCCGAGGGCACCAGGCCGATGCCCCAGGCCTGCTGTCCACTCGTCAGTGCCCACTCATCTCTCCACCCTCATGCATCCATTCATCAGTGCATCACTGGCACCTGTCCAGCTTACCTGGATCCTGTGTCCTGAGCAAGCTGTGCCCCTACCTGACCAAATGGTACCCCCCATCCTGAGCCCTGACCTCTGCCCAGCCCCAGCTGGGGCTGCTGCCCCCATTATACCCCTGCCCCAGCCCCCCTCATGCCCCTACCCTACTCCCATTTCCCTGCCTTCCAGCCCTTCTCCCTCCTTCCGCCTGCCCAATGCCAAGGCTGTGGACCCCAAGGGTGGCAGCCGGACCCCTGGGTTCCCTTCATAACCTTGGGTGAGGGTCTGATGGGGGAGGGATCAGAAAAGTTCTGATCCCAATAATAAAAGTTCAAAGGATTTTGCAGCCTGTGTGTGTTGTTGCTGGGGCGGGGTTTCTGGGAAGGTGGCCCCGCCCTCAGCGCCCCACCGCCGGACTCCTCCCCACTCCCCCTCCCCAGCTTCAGTGACTGCGCCCCGGGACTTTCCGTCACTGGGAAGGGGCGGGGACCCAGAGCGCAAGGTGCGGGGGTGGCCGGAGGGGTGACTCCGCTTCCCGTGGCCGCCTCGGGCGGGGGACCAGAGAGGGAGGCGAGTGGGGCTGCGCCCGGCCGGGCCGGACTCGGGGCGCAGGGGCGCCATGAGGGGGGCCCAGGCCGCTCCTTTCCGCCTGCGGCCTCTGTCAAACCCATGGCTGCTGTCTCTATTGTTTCTGCTGTTGAACCGGATTCGTCCCCAGGGTGAGTCTGGAGAGTTCTCGGGCCGGCGCTCTGCCCCAGCGTTCACCGTTAAAAGTGCAAACTGGCCAGGGTGTGCCAGAAGTTTGCGGAATGAATGGCAGAGGTCGGGACGCCACTCAGCGCCTCTGAGGCAGGCACGGGGTGAACAAAGGAGTTGGGGAAGGGGCGGCAGTGAGGTCCGGAACCCGAGCTGGCGGGGTGGGGGTGGCGGCTCTAGGGGCAGCAACAGGATGTGGCGGGCATCGCTCTCCCGCTGGCAGAGAGAGGGAGGAGTGCAGACCGAAGCTGGGTTGGGGCGCCCCGCGCCCCCTACCTGCTGCTCACTTCCGTAAGGGACCCCAAACGCCTCCGCAGTTGCCAGAAGTCCTGGAGTGTGCAGTGACCCTTCCCTGGGACCTTCCCCCCGCCCCACCTTTCCAGGCAGCCCTGGCCCGATGCAGTGCTACCGAATTGGACTCTTGGGTGATTTGAACTGCTCGTGGGAGCCTCTTGGGGACTCAAGAACCCCCTCCACGCTCCACTTTCAGAGCCAGAAGTAGTGAGTACACTATGTGGCATGGGGAAACAGGCGTCAGAGGGATGAGGGGGTGGTGAAGGGTTCTTCTCAGGCTGAGAGGATCAGGAGTCCTGCCCCCAGCCCTCCCCCCAATCTCAAGTCCTTCAAATCCAGGTCCCCTCATTTCTTTGCTGTGTGACCCTGGACCTATCACTTCCCCTCTCTAAGCCTCTGTTTCCTCCCCTCTTAAAGGATGATGATAATGGAACCTGCCTCCCAGGGTTGATTCTGAGGATTCAGTGAGTTAAGCGCTTGGCAAGGAGAACATACTTAACAATTAGGAGCTGTGTTTTAGTGCTGTGTGACCTTAGGCAAGTAGCTTAACCTCTCTGAGCATCTGAAAAGATCATTTGTTCATTTGGCAGTGCTGTTCCAGGCACTGGGGACACAGCAGTGAATGAGGCAGGCAGAAAGCTCTGCCCTCGTGGAGCTCACAGCCTGCTGGGGAGACGGGCGTCCCTTAAAGATGAATCATACTGGAAACTTATCATTTCAAATTCTGCTAAGTGAGGGAAGAGTAAAAGGGGCCCCTAAAGGTGGGAATGGGGTATGGGGGAGCTGGTTTTAATTGGTGGAGGTTGAGGGGTCAGCAAGGTCCTGTTTTAAAATTTATTTAAATGAGGTGAAATTCACATAACGTAAGATTTAATCATTTTAAGGTGAACAATTCAGTGGCGTTTAGTACACTCACAATGTTGTGCAACCACTACCTCTATTAAGTTGCAGACATTTCCATCACCCCCAAAGGAAACTCCTGTACCCACTCAGCAGTCACTCCCTGGCCCTCTCCCCCTGCAGCCCCTAGCAACCACTGATCTGCTTCCATCGCTATGGATTTACCTATTCTGGACATTTCATATGAATGGGATCATGCAATATGTGACCTTTTGTGTCTGGCTTCTTTCACTCCCATCATGTTGTTGGTCCAGCCATGTTGTAGCAAGTATCAATACCTCGTTCCTTTTTATGGCCAAATAATATTCCATTGTATGAACATACCATGTTTTGTTTATCCATTTATCCAGTGGTGGACATTTGGGCTGTTTCCACCTTTCGCTATTGTGAATGATGCTGCTATGAACATTCGTGGACAATCAGCTGTTTTAACACCTGTTTTCAATTCTTTGGGATATAGAACTAGGAGTGGAATTGCTGGGTCATATGGTAACTCTCTGTTTAACTTTTTGAGTAATTGCCGGGCTGTTTTCCAAAGCAGCTGCGCCATGTCACATTCCCACCAGCAATGTGCAGGGTTCCAATTTCTCCATATCCTTGTCAGCACTTGTTATTTGCTGTTTTTTTTTGAGAAAGGCCCTATTTTAAACCTTTGAAATCCAAACCTTGGGTACTTTCTCGTTTCCTCTTTCTCATCCACATCTGCTCCATCAGCAAACCCAGTTGGCTCCATCTTCCACGTTATCTAGAATCCAGCACTTCTTCCCACTTGCCCTGCCCCTGCTCTGGGGTCCAGCCCCCTGTAATCTCTCACCTGGACCAGTCAGTCGCCTCCGCCCTGACCTCCCATTCCTACTCTCACTTCCCCCAGTCTGTGCCCCCTACAGCAGCAGAAGGAGCTTGTGAGCACCTGAGTCAGGGCATGTCCCTCCTCTGCTTCGAACCCTCCATGGCTCCCACCTCACCCTGGATAAAAGCTCAAGTCCGCCCTGCGGCCCACAAGCCCTGCAGGATCTGCCCTGTCCCCTCCCTGCCCTCATCTCCCCTGCTCGTCCACCTCCCTCACTCTGCTCCAGCAACTTTGGCCTCCTCGCTGTTCCTCAAACACACCAGGCACAGTCAGGCCCCAGGGCCTTTGCACTGGCTGTTCCCTCTGCCTGGAATGCTCTTCTCCCAGGTACTGCATGACTCCTTACTCACCTCTTCAGGCCTTTATTGAAATGTCTCTTCATCTGAGACACCCTTCCTGACCACCACTCTCCCCCTCCCACTAAAACAGCACCATCACTTCCCCCGCATTGTCACACCGTATCTCTCTCTCTGCTGGAGCTTATACCGCTGATCACCACCTGACATGGCACCTAAAATATATTCACGTGTTTCCCGTCTGTCTCACCCACTGGAACGTCAGCTTCAGAGAGTGGGACCTTGTCTGTTTTGGTCCTAGCTCTATCCCCAGCTTCTAGAACAGGGCCTGACACAATAAAGATTTGCTGACTGAATAGTTGAATGTATGTAAATATGCATACATTTACATGTAATAGTAGGTATGCAATAAATGCCATAACCAATGCTTACATAACATGTATTGTGCACCTGACGATGTTCTGAACATATTCCATCTATCATCTCATTTACTCCCCTCCCTGGCCCTCTCAGCTTATTGGCCTCATTTTATAGATGAGGAAACTAAGGCACAAAGACGTTAAGTCACTTGCTCAATGTCACACAGCTCTGAAGCAGCAGAGTTGGGATTTGAACCCGGGCAGAACAGGCTCCAGCCATTGCACTAGATGACTTCTCTGCCAGCACTAGGATTCTTGTCATTGTGGCTCTGGCTCCCAATGTACCCCCTGTCCCAGCATCTCTCCCTATAGCCATCTCAACAGAACCCAGGTGGTGGCAGTGCCCACTGGGCAGAGCTGGGTGACCATTCCACGGGAACAGTTCACCGAGTTTGACACACTCCTTGTCTGGGGGGCCGAGGCAGATGGGCCTCTTTGGCCCCCAATCTCCGTGGACCTAGAAACCCGAGGTAATGTGGTGGGAGGGCACCCTGTGGAGGTGGGTGGTCCTGGAGGACCCAGCTCACTGCACCCTGGCCTCCTCTTCCCCAGTGAAGCTGGATGCCCCGCGACTGTGCCCTGACATAAACTTTTCAGAGGATGACCCCCTGGAGACCACGGTCCACTGGGCCCCACCCACGTTGCGGCCCCATCAGAAGGACATGGTCTGCCAGTTCTACTACCGAAGATGCCAGGAAGAGGCCTGGACCCTGGTGAGTGTCAGGGGTCAGGGTCCCTGTTCCCTCCAGCCCATCTCAGGCAGAGCCCCAGGGCATCACTCCCAAATCAGAGACTCAGCTCAGGGTTCATCCCCCCAAACTCCTGCATATATGTCTTCTTCAGCTAAAAATTTCTCCCAAAACAATCTATGAATTCCATGCAATCACAACTCTGCCTCTACTTGAAATCTGTGAGAAACTCAATAAGCTTTCTCTAACATTTCTATGAACAAGTGAAAGTGCTCACAAACAGCTTAAGTTAACCTTAAAATAATTCAGGTAGTCCCTGACTTACGATGGCCTTCCAAGCCGACGACTACTCTGTCAGAAGTCGGTTCTGGCATACGTCAAATACCTCTTTTTTTAGTTTTCATTATTATTGCTTTTTATTATCAGTATCTTTGTAGATTCAATCTTTATTTGTCTTTGGGGGTTGGAAACATTATACCTGAGAATGATAACATCAGCAAATTACGCACTGCAATATTGTATGTAGTGTGTATTACTAATGATAACATAAACGAACAAAAAAGGACTGATTCATAAGTGTGGTTCGTCATAACTCAAATACGTTGAAAGTTGGGGACTGCCAGTAATAACAACAGCAAACTCTCAGAGAGCATTCTGTTTGCCAGACACTGTTCTAGGCTCTTCCCAAACATGGGTTTATTGAATCCTTGCAAAACCTCTTTGAGGTAACTGCATTTTACATCTACCCATTTTACAGATGAGGAGCAGGGCCTGGCTTCCAGTAAACACTTAATCATAAAAGCAGCTGACAATTCTGAACACCTACTGTGTATCAGGCCCTGAGCTAATCACTCAGCAAGGATTATCTTGATGAGTTCTCCCAACCTCCCTATATAGTAGATGCTTTTAAGATCTCTCTCTCTCTCTCTTTTTTTTTTTTAATATTTTATTGTGTTTTTGGTGAAAGTTTACAAAAGAAATTAGGTTCTCATTTAACAGTTTCTATACATATTGTTCCGTGACATTGGCTACATTCTTCACAATATATCAGCATTCTCATTATTTCCATTCTGGTTGTTCTGTTTCTATTAATCTAGCTTCCCTGTCTCCTCTAGCCTTCTCATCTTTGGTCTAGGGTAAATGTTAACCATTTGGTTTCACCTGGACGATTATTTTGAGGAGCATAGTACTCACGGGTGATATGATTTATTTTATGGGCCAGACTGTCCTTTGACCTCTGGGAGTGGTTTGAATTCCAAGTTTAGAGTATCTCAGGGCGATAGTCTCAGGGGTTCATCTAGTCTCTACCAGTCCAGTAAGTCTGGCCTTTTTTTTTTTTTTTTAAGGAATATGAGTTTTGTTCCACATTTTTCTCCCATGCTATCCAGGACTATCTATTGAGTTCCTGGTAAGATCTCTTTTTGTAGTTGGGGAAGCTGAACTTCAGAGAAGTTAAGCAACTTTTCCAAGGTCACATAGCAAGACAGCAGAAGGCAACTCCAGAGCTAGGATTTGGGGGACCTGCCCATGCATTTGGAAACCCTAGTAGTGTAGTGGTTAAGAGCTATGGCTGTTAACCCAAAGGTTGGCAGTTCGAATCCACCAGGTGCTCCTTGGAAACCCTATGGGGCAGTTCTACCCTGTCCTGTAGGGTCGCTATGAGTCGGAATTGACTTGACCGCAATGGGTTTGGTTTTGTTTTTTTTTTTTTTGGTTTGCCCATGCATTTTAAGGGCATGACCTGGAAGTTTTATACATCATTTCCTCTCATCTCTCATTGGGCAGAATGTAGTCATATGGCCTCACCGAACTACAAAGGAGGCTAAGAAATGTAGTCTGTGTTCTGGGCAGCCATATTCCGCACTAATACTCAGGGGTTCTATTTCCAAAGGAAGAAGGAGAGAGTGGATATTGGAGACAACCAGCTGTCTTAGCCACAGCTCTTGACACAAAACACCACAATAAAGAGCAGAGTTACTGTCATTGTGGTTATTCATACAATTCTGAGCAATGGTAGATACAGACTTTGGAATCTGACTGCCTGAGTACAAGTCCCAGCTCTGGTACTCACCAGCTCTGTGACCTTGGGCAAGTCACTTCACCTCTCTGAGCCTCTGTTTCCTTATCTGTAAAACAAGGGTAATAATAGAATAATAGACCTACTGCCATGCCTAGCACATAGGGTGACCACCTAGTCTTGGTTTGCCTGGGACTGAAAGCCCTGTATCCTGAGAACCCCCTCAATCTCAGGCAGAATGGGACCATTGATCACCCTGTTGGCACATAAGAGTTAAGTGCTGTATAGTCAAGTACCCTCAGCATAGCCCCTGAACCCATCCCTCTCTCCTGTCTCTCCCCCAGCTGGAGCCAGAACTGAAGTCCATACCCCTGACCCCTGTAGAGATCCAGGACCTGGAGCTAGCCACTGGCTATGAGATGTCTGGCCGCTGTCGAATGCAAGTAGAAGAGGATCTGTGGGGCGAGTGGAGCCCCATTCTGTCCTTCCAGACACCGCCCTCTGGTGAGGATCTCCAGGCTTGCCCCTAAACCTTTGACCCTGCTCCTGGAAGCCTGATCTATCATGCCCTTTCTCTTTCTTCATCCCCATCAGCTCCAAAAGACATGTGGGTGTCCGGGAACCTCTGTGGGACAACAGCTGAACAAGAAGCCCTGCTTCTGTGGAAGGTGAGCTACGGGGACCAATTACATTTCTCAGCACATGTCAGGAAACCCCAAATAAAAATGGTGTAAACAAGACAGAGGTTATTTCTCTCAATACAGGAAGTTTAGGGGTTGGCACATTGGCCTGTTGTGGCAGCTCCACCATTCCAGGGTTCTCTACCACACTGCTCTACCATGTTTTATGTATTGCCTCATGGTCCAGCATGGATGCCTGAGCTCCAGCCATCATATCTCTAGTCCAGGCAACCTGCACATGAGTTTCCAGTGGGGACAACATTCAAAAGTGACAAGGGATGTGGGAACATTTTTTGTTTCCAAGACCGTGTTGCATCCCTGGCTCTTGCCTACCAAATACCAATCATTAAGGCAACCAAAAACTCCCACAGATTCCTCCAAAGTCCCCTCAAGGGTGCCATCCTTTTTGTTACACATACCCACTCCTCTATGCAATGAGAAATTTGAAATTCCTAAGAACTGCACAGGACACAAACTAGGGTGAGGCAAGTGAGGCACTCGCCAGGGCACAAAATTTAAGGAGTGCCAAAAAAGCTCAGTAATCAAGATAAATAATAATTTAATGCAATATTAAAAAAAAAAAAAATCAAATTAGCAAACTATGGCCCATGGGTCAGCTGTCTGTTTTTGTAAATAAAGCTTGATTGGAACCAGGACCAGAATTACGGTGAGGCGAGTGAGGCAGCATCATGCAAGTGCAGGGCCAGATCCTATCTTTACTTAAAATGTTGATATTTTGTTCATTATGGGTTTTTTGTGTTAATTTTGATTTATTAAAATATTATTTATCTTCATCATTGGCTTTTTGGTGTCCCCTTAAATTTTGCATCTGAAGTGAGTATCTCACTCAACTCACCCTAGTCCCAGCCCTGGAACCACATTCTAACCTGCCTCTACTGCAGAACACTTCTGAGACTCAGTTTCCTCATCTTTAAAATGGAGCCAACAAAAATACTTTGCTGTTTTAAGATCTGTCTGTATAGGGTCAAATTGACAACAGCAACTCAAAAGATTAGATAGGAAACCTAGTGAATTTATGTTAATGGAGGAGGAACAGTTGGGAAAAAGAGGGTGAGAGTGATTGTACAACTGGCAGAATGTAATCAGTGTCACTGAAGTGTACCTGTAGAAACTGTTGAACCTGGTGTATGTTCTGCTGTGTATATTCTCAACAACAACAAAAATAAAATGAAAAAATACTTTGCTGACTGGTTTGTTGGTTGACCTCACTGAAGCACACAGTATGTGCCTGATAAATGGGAGCTATTAACCCCTTCTTCCCCTCTTCCCTCAGGCCCCTGGGCCCTGTGTGCAAATGAGCTACAGAGTCCAGTTCCGGGTTGAAGGTAGGGAGCTGCTCCAGGAAGGGATCCCCTGCTGCAACTCCTCCATCCCCGCCCAGGCGGAATGGGCTGGGGTGTCCGCTGTCAACGCCAGGAACCAGGAGATCTTCACCAACCTCTCTTTGGCCTGTTCAGGTAAGAGGCTGTGAACTTCTTCCACGCGGTGCCCTGGAGGGACAGGAGGGAACTTCCTGAGTGGGCAGCCAAGACTTCTCCTCCCTACCTCTCTTTCCAGGCTCTGCCCCCCATGATGTGGCGGTCAGCAGCACCTCTGACAGCAAGGAGCTGCTGGTGACCTGGCAGCAGGGAGCCGGGGAGCTGTGGGAGCACGTGGTGGACTGGGCTCGAGACGGGGATCCCCCGGAGAACCTCAGCTGGGTCTGGCTTCCCCCTGGGAATCTCAGTGTCCTGTTGCCAGGTGAGACTGTAGGACACCTGGGTTCCTATCCCAGCTGGTAAAGCAGGGCAGACTAATGGGCAGTCTGGGAAAGTATTATGGTTTGAGTATCATTCGTTTGGGCAATAAAGATTTGTTGAGCTCCCTGTTCTAGACAGTGGTACACATACGGGCAGCTGGATTTCCTGAGCATTTACTATATGCGTTCAATCAGTTGAACTTAATCATACAAGTGAGTTTCTATTATTATAATGCTCAATTTACAGATGAGGAAACAGGCCCAGGGAGGTTAAGCAACTTGCCCAAGGCCACACAGCAAGTAAGTGGTAGAACTAGAATTTGAACCACACAGGCTCCTGAAGCCAAGCCCTGAACCATCACAACACCCTGCCTCTCAGCAATGCCCTTGCCCTCATGGAGCCACCATTCTTGTGAGGCAGGCTGCCAATTAAACAAACAAGTATATCTGTAATGTAGTTGGAGGAAAATAAAGTACGGGAAGGGGAAGAAGGGAGAACTGCTCTTTTAGAAGGAGAGGTTAGAAAAAGATTTTCTGGGGAAGTGGTATTTGAGCCAAGACCTGAAGCAGGTGAGGGAGGAGCCATAAGGATGTCTGAGGGAAAAGCATTCCAGGGAGAGGGAACACCCAGTGCAAAGGCCCTGAGGCTGGTCCATGCCTGGCATAGTAGAACAGCAAGGAGGTCAATATGGTGGAATAGAGTGGGGATGAGGGTGGCTGGGGGCAGATGAGGTCAGGGGCCTTGTGGACCACAGGAAGGACTTGGACTTTTACCCTGAGTGAGGTGGGAACCCTGGAGGATTGTGAGCAGTGGAGGACGTTCCCTGTCTTAGGTGCTCACGGGCGCCCTCTGGCGGCTGTGGGCGGGGAACAGACTGTGGGGTTGAGACTAAAAGCGGAGGACCAGGAGCGACTGCATTGGTCCAGATAGGAGAGGATGGGGCTGAACCAGGTAGGGACTGAGGAGCAGGGAGAAGCAGGCGGGTTCTGGTCAGAAGTCTCAGAGCAGAAATTTCGGGAACCCATTTGGGTATATTGAGCTGTGATGCTCGTGTGGTCATCTAATTGGGATCATCCGTGGAGCTGCTGGGTACTCAGGTCTGGGGCCCACAAAGGGTTCTCTGCTGGAGCTTGGTATTGGGGAGTTAGTTCGTATAGAGGACTTGAGAGGGCTTAAGAAGGTGTGGGTGAGAAATCTAGGACAGAGTCCCAAGGTCCACAAACATGAGTGAAAGAATTTAAAAAAAAAACCCCAAACACATTGCCGTGGAGTCGACTCTGATTCATAGCAACCCTATAGGACAGAGTAGAGCTGCCCCATAGGGTTTCCATAATCTTTATGGAGGCAGACTGCCACATCTTTCTCTCAGGGGGCAGCTGGTGAGTTAGCAGCCCAGGGCTTAACCACTGTACTACCAGGGCTCCTTGGGCGAAAGAATAGGACCCCCAATTCTGGAAAATTCTCCATTGGGGAAGGCCATGCTGAAGCACTAGGTTTCAAGGAGGATCTTCTCACCTACTGGTCGAGGAGCTGTAGGTGCCCCACTCACATCCCCTCTTTTAACTACCTCCGAGCTGCTGGGCCTCTCCCAGCCGCCAGCACCTGCATTTCCTGGTTCAAGGGCTTTTCCTGGTCACTGAAGAATTTTGCCTGCCTGGGTAACAGGCTGGAAGTGCTGGGGAATATAAGGCCCCTCAGGAGCAGCCCTCACCCAATAACTGATGGGAGGGAGTTGCTGGACCAATACCCCACCTCCCTCACTCCTAGGTGGGATGACTCCTAGGTGCGTGCTCTCTGCTTTCTCCCTGAGGTTCCCAGTGGGACTGAGCCCCAGTTGCCCATGGTGGGAACGTCCTTAATAACACACCATTCACTGGCTGCCTTCCCTTCCTTGCTGTCCTGCTGGTACCGCCTGGGGTCACCTTCCATACAAGCAACTTGTGTCAAATCCCTATCTAAGGGTCTCCTTCTGGGGACCCTCATGAAGACACCTACAAAGTAGGAAATGACAGGGAGAGAGAGCCAACTGTAACTGGACTTTGTTCCTCTCCGATTCAGGGAATTTCGAGAAAGGAGTCCCCTATCAGATCAGAGTGACCACAGTCTCTCCTTGGGGCTTGTCTCCTGCCCCCTCAGTCTGGGGGTTCGTAGAGGAACTAGGTAAGAAGTGGGGCTGGAGGATGGAGGGTCCTGGAACCGCAGCAGGTCTGACCCACTGGCTTTCTCCCCAGCACCTCTAATGGGGCCAGAGCTTTGGCGACTCCAGGATGCACCCTCAGGGATCCCCACCATAGCATGGGGAGAGGTCCCACGGCACCAACTCCGGGGCCACCTCACCCACTACACCTTGTGTGTGAAGAGTGAAACCAGGTCCCTCGTCTGCTTGAATGGTGAGCTTCCCTGCTCCCTCCTCCCAGCCCCCACAAGACCCACACCATCAGTCTATCCCGCCCCTTGCCCCTAGATGGGCTCCTTGGCTCCCTCTCAGCCCCTGGGTGAATACATGATGCCATCAATCCCCTAGAGGATAATACCCATCCCAGCTATCAATGTAATGGACTATCAGTCGGCCATTAAAGATGAAGACTCAGATCTATATTTATTGACATTGAAAGATGCCTGTCATATTTTATTAAGTGAAAAAGACAGAAAGGGTTACAAAACTCCGTCGGAGGGTTCTATTTTTGTAAAATAAGCCCCGTATACAGCAAAGCATTGCTCTATACTGAGCAATGAATATGAGTATGAAAACATAAAAAGAAATTCCCCACAGTGTCCACAGGTCTTGTAGGATTACAAATGATTTTTATCTCTTTTTCATACCTTTGGGTATAGGCTACATTTTTACCCTGAGCACAAATGACTTTTTAAAAATATCTTTTTTGCTCTTTTTTCTAAATACAAAAGTTATTTGTGCTTGTTACAAAAGCTAAAATGTTAAATATATATATATATATATATCATCAAGAATATCAGCATTCTGTTTCTCTGATGCTGACAATGCAGCATCCAGATTTTTCTGTGAGGATACTAACATGACATAAGAGTTGTGTGTTGTTGTTTTTTGGTTTTAACTTCTTATTATAGAAATTTTCAAGCACATACACAGTAGAAAGTATGACAAAACCCCAGTACCCACCCACCACCCAGCTTCAATGATCACCAACATTTTGCCTATTTTAATTTATACCCCATACTTTTTTTTGCTAGAATCTTTGGTGTCATTTCATCCCTAAGTATTTTAGTACCTCAGCATTTATCTCTAACTGATAAAGGTTTTTTTTTGTTTGTTTGTTTGTTTTTTTAGAGGGGGGATATACACATCAAAACACGCTCCCTTTCAACAATTTCTACACATATTGTTCTGTGACATCAGTTGCATTCTTCACACTGTGGCGACATTCTCGTTATTTCTGCTCTGGTTGTCTCACCCCCATCAATTTAGACTCACTGCCCCCTAAACTTCTCATCTATGCTTTAGAGTTACTGTCGTCCCTTTGGGCTCGTAATAGTTACTTTTTTAAAAAAGCACAATACTTAAGGGGGACATTCTTTACTTTTTGAGCTAGACTGTTTTTCTGTTTAAAGATGACTTCAGGGGATAGTTTAGGTTCAAGATTTGAAGAGTATCTCAGGGCAGTAGTCTCAGGGGTTCATCTAGCTACAATGGGTCCAGTAAGTCTGGATTCTTTGGGCATTTGAAGTTCTGTTCCACACTTTTTCCCTTTTCTGATGGGAAAAAAAAAAAAAAACCACTGCCATCGAGTCGATCCTGACTCATGGTGACCCCATAGGGTTTCCAAGGCCGTAAATCTCTACGAAAGCAGGAGCCACTGGTAGTTTTGAACCGCTGACCTTTTAGTTAGCAGTCGATGACTTTAACCATTGCGCAACCAGGGATCCTTCAAATAGACCTTAAAAAAATCACCTTAACATGATTACCGCCCCCCCAAAAAAAATAAATAACCAGTTGCCATCAAGTTGATTCCAACTTATGGTGACCTCATGAGTGTCAGAGTAGAAATGTGCTCTATAGGGTTTTCAGTGACTGATTTTTCACAAGTAGATCACCAGGCCTTTCTTCAGAGGTGCCTCTGGGTGGACTCAAACCTCCAACCTTTCAGTTAGCAGCTGAGCGTGTTAACTGTTTGCACCACCCAGGAACTATACACACACACACACACACAATTATAAACATGCGATTTATAAGGTGTGTGTGTGTATAATTCCTGGGTGGTGAAAACAGTTACATATATATATAAGTGTATATATATATAACCCAAAACCCCATCACCGTCATGTCCATTCCAACTCATAGCAACCCTATAGGAAGAGTAGAACTGCCCCATAGGGTTTCCAAGGCTGTAATCTTTACGGAAGCAGACTGCCATATCTTTCTCCCATGGAGCGGCTGGTGGGTTCAAACCACCAACATTTGGTTAGTAGCCAAGTGTTTAACCACTGCACCACCAGCGCTCCACACACACACACACACACACACACACACACACTTTAAATATAAAAGTGGACCGTGCTATAGTTTAGCCCTTGGATCTTATGACTGATATTTTGCGACTTGCCTTTTGCACGGCACCTGATGATTTAGCTTGGACACCTATCCATGTCAGTAGATCTTGATCCATGTGCAATTCTCCCGTGATCCTATAGCATACTCGAAAGCTACATCCTCCTTCAGTGAAAAAAACAAAAATTTAGGAGAAAAGGCAAACGAAAATAGTTCTGGGAGGTGGGAATATCCCCCCCCTTGTTGGGGTTGCATCTCTCTCCACGGAGTTCTGTGCAGCTGAGGGATGTGATGCTCATTCATTCTTACATTTACTTGAATATATGGTTTTGGAGTGTCTACCCTGTGCCAGGCACCAACCTAGGTGCTGGAAGCCGGCCCTGTGGAGCTGCCTTTCTAATGGGGGACACGCAGGCATACGCAGAATAAATAATATGCAGTGTGTTAGATGGTGATAAGTGCTGAGTAGAGGCATGAAGCAGGGAAGACAGGTGGTAAAGGGGGTTGCAATTTTAAAAGGGAGATTCAGGGAAGGCCTTAATGAGGAGGTGACATTTGAGCAAAGACCTCAAGGAGGCAAGAAAGGAGCCGTGTGCATGTGGGGGGTAGAGTGTTCTAGGCCAAGGGAACAGCATGTGCAAAGGCCCTGAGGTGGGATTTACCCACCTCCTTAACCTCTCGGGTTGTGTCCTTTAGTGAGTGGTGGCACCCAGAATGTCACCCTGCCAAACCTTCACTGGGGTACTTGCGAGCTGTGGATGACTGCATCCACCATAGCAGGACAGGGCCCACCTGGACCCAGCATCCAGCTGCACCTACCAGGTAGGGGGCCTGGGGTGAGACTGTCGCAAGGAGGTGGCCTGCTCCATTAGGGGAAGGTGTCTGGAATCATTACTTGGGCTTCAGTAGGTGGGCAACCTTTTGACTTGGGGGGGTTGTTGACAATGCCTTGGGACATTTTGGTTCTGCTTAATGCTATGTATTATGCAGCAATGTGTATCTCTCGCCCTTTCACTCATCCCTGCCCCTAGACCCTTCACTGAGTACTGGCCCTTCACCCAGCCTTGCTCTATGCACAAGCTCACTCCATCACAAGATCCCGCCATCCTTAGCCCCTGCCCAGTCACAAGCCCCGCCCACTTACAAGCTTCCCCTACCTAAGCCCTGCCTCATCCATGAGGCTGGCCCCTCCCTGGTGTCCAAACGTTCTTTTTCCCCCGCAGATAACACACTGAAGTGGAAAGTTCTGCCAGGTGTCCTACTCCTATGCGGTGTGCCCCTGATGGGCCTGGTCCTGGCCACCTCTGGAAGGTGAGGCTGTCAGACATGTGGGTCTCTTTCTGGGTGGGAAAGGTGGCTGGACATTAGCTGAGCTTGGGGTGGGGAGGGGAAAGGCCTGAGGGCACTTCGATGCTCCTGGCCCATGCAACCTGGGCATGGGTGTCTGGCCACCGGGATCCCTGCCCTGACTCTTACCCGCTTGCCAGGTGCGTCCATCTTTGGCACAAGGTGCTGCCCCACTGGGTCTGGGAGAAGGTTCCAGATCCAGCCAAGAGCAATTCTGTCCAGCCCCACATCGAGGTAAGCAAAAAGGCAGGGCTGTCAGGGCCCAGTGGGGACTTGGGGGGTCCTGGGATATTTGGGAGGCTGGGAGTGGGGAGGAAGGGTCAGAATCTCAGCTTCATCCCTTCCCAGGAGGGGCTCCAGGCCCAGCCCCTTGTGGACGTGCCCATCCTGGAGGTGCAGGAAATAGAGCCACTGCCAGGTATGGAGCCCTCCCAGCCCCCTGCCGCACTTGACTCTGGGTATGAGAAACACTTCCTGCCCACACCTGAAGAGCTGGGCCTGCTGGCGACCCCCAGACCTCAGGTTCTGGCTTGAATCTTACCTCAGGCTGGGGGCTACAGGCCACATCACAGGGCTGCTCACCCCAGCCCTAGATCAGCCCTGTTGACAGATGAAGACACTGAGGCTCAAAGTCATTTGCCTGAGGGCACCCAGCCAGGAAAAGCTGGGATTGAAGGACCCCCACGGTGAAGGGCCGGCCCTAATAGGGACTACAGTGGGTGAACAAAGGAGTAAAGGAAAATGTATGAAATCCAGAGCATCAGTTGCCTCTCAAAGTCTGTACTTCTGCTGTAACAGAACTGGAGTTAGGTACAATTGCCAGCCTCCCTTGCAGCTAGGTGCAGCAATGGACTGAGTTCTCACCAATAGAACAGACGTGTGCCACTTCACCTCCCATCCCGTCTGGTGGGTCTTAAAACACTGGGTGGGGACTCCTCCACGTTCTCCTCCCTTTCCCATGAGCCGGAGAATCAACGTGCCCTTGATCCAGCTTTGACCATGCCAAGGAGAGGGTGGGGCAAGAAGTGGAAAGGAACCTAAGTCTCTGACTGACCACATGGATCAGAGCCAGTGGAGAAATAAACTTTCATATTTTTATAGCTACTGTAGCTTGAGGTCTTTTGGTTACAGCAGCTAAATCTATACTCTTGCTGATTCACACTCTTTGATTCTAGTAGAGTTAAACCCTTGATTTCCCACCGGAAGGCGGTGGGGAGGTTCTGTGTTATCAACACACACATTTCAAGCTGTCTGTGTTTTAACATTTTATTTTCAAGTATAAAGACTTCATTGCAGAAGGGGGCCAGGGTCACAGGCAGTGGACAGAAGCCCAGGTAGAGGTGGATGTGTGGGCCAGCTGGCTCCCAGGTGCCATGGCCAGTCCCGTGGTGCCCTGTCTGTGCCTGGGACCCTCTGCTGGTTGCCAAGAGGCCGAGGTAGCTGTGAGAGGAGCTGCGCGTGGAGGGATGCAGCCTCACATAACCGCACAACACTGGCACGTCTTTTGCTTAGGGGCCCTTGCCTCTTCACCTTCATGGGGGGCAGGTGGCTCAGGCTGCCGGGCAGGGGCGTACGTGGGCACAGGGTGGGCACTGGGCCCCTCCACTGGAAGCAGTGGCTGGCACTCGGTGGGCTGCTCCAAAGCGGAGGTCTCTGCCAGAAGGGGTGTAGCATCCCCCGAGGGGCCCTGGCCCTCAGCAGGAGTTTGGGGCTTTTCTGCCTCCTCCTCCAGGGGGCCTTCCTGCTTCTCCTGGGGCTGCAGTCCTCCCTCCTCTGGCCTTGGTTCTTCCTTGGTTCCCAGGGAAGCACCTGCTTCGCTCACCTCCTCTGCCTGGGGTTCCTTTCCACCCCCTGACTCTCTCTGCTCTTCTGGACTTGGATCTTGCTCGATACCTTGGGTCTTCTCTGTCTCCAAAAGTTCCTCGCCTCCTTTTTTCTCTGCCTCCAATGGTTCTTCACTTTCTTGTTTCTCTGAATCCAGTGGTCCCTCATCTTGTTTCTCTGACTCCAGTGGTCCCTCATCTCCTTGTTTCTCTGCCTCCAATTTTTCCTCACCTCCTTTCCTCTCTGCCACCAGCGGTTCTTCAACTGCTCTCTTCTCTGCCCCTGGCTGTACCTCATCTCCTTTCTTTTCTTCTCTCAGTGGTCCCTCATCTTCTTTCTTCTCTGCCCCTAGCTTTTCCTCACCTCTTTCCTTTTCTGCTCTCAATGACTCTTCAACTTCTTTTCTCTCTACTCCTAATGGTTCCTCAACTCTCCTCTCTGCCCCTTGCTGATCCTCACTTCCTTCCCTCTCTGTTTTCAGTGATTCCTCAACTCCTCTGCTCTCTGCCCCAAGCTGTTCCTCATCTCCTTTCTTCTCTATTCCGGGTGGTTCCTTGGCTTCTTCCCTCTCTGTTCCTAGCTTTTCCTCACCTCCTTTCTTCTCCACTCCCAGTGATTCTTCTGCTTGCCTCCTCTCCACCTCCCAGGTTTCCTCACCTCCTCTCTTCTCTTTCCCCAGCAGGCCCTCATCTCCTCCCTCCCTTGCCACTGGCCCCGGCCCCTCCAGACCCTCCACCAGCAGCTCTTCCCACTCCTCGCTGAGGACTGATCTCTCCACCCAAATGAAAGACCCCTCCTCACCTCCAGAGCCCCCCCGCCCATTGCCCTCAGGGCTGCCCTCGTCAGAACCTTCCCCTTCTCTAGAAATCACTCCCTGTTCTGGGAGCCTTGGTGAGCTCGGCTGTGCAGCCTCCCGACCCCTCCATCCCTCCCCTGTGTCCACTGAGTCACTGCCCTCTGTGCCCCCCACCCCTTCCCAGACCACCTCCACAACATTTCTGTCCTCCTTCACCCAGGATGGGAGCTCTGGGCTGCCAGCCACCTGCCTGTCCCCAATGGCCTCCAGCACCACCTCCTCCACCTTAGCCTCCAGTTCTGGGCCTGTGGCCCCTATGGCACAGTCTTCTGTGGCCCTCAGCCCCTCCCACACCACCTTCACCACACCCCCTCCTTTGGCCTCACCCACCCCCCTCTCCACTGCTGCCACCCCCTTACTTGGCTCCTGCTCCGGAGGAGGGCTGAGTCCGGGGCAGGGCCCATTGGCTTCTGAGGAGGCTGCTGTCATCCCAGGGACCTGCCTTGAGGCTGGCAAAACCCCAACAGCCTCCTCCCTGGGCTCAGATAGGGACTCCGGGGACATGCCTGCTGGTCCAGGTGGCAGAGAGGCTCTCTTGTCTAGATCTGCCCTGTCTGGGGCAGTCAGGGAGCAAAGGAGAGGAGAGAGGAGGTCACAGGGTGAGCAGGACCCAGGGGTCCCCATCCTCACTCCTCCTGGGCCACTCAACCTGGGGGCAACCTGACCCCAGACACCCACCTGCAGGACCTGCCTCCACGATGGGCAGGGAGAGAGGACGGTGACCCTGCAGGGAAGGCAGAGACCAGGTTAGGCCCAGCCCTTGGCCCCACCCCAGCTTCCTTGCATGCCCATATTCCCCCTGCTCTAACATCCTCACTGACTGCCCAGTACCTGTCTTATCACCCTCCGCTCCAATGCCTCATGCACACTAGGAGCTTAATCAATACTGTGTTCATTGGATCAGTCGCTACGTGCTGGGGCCTACTCTGTCAGATGCTGAAGTTACCATGGACAAGGCAGACTTAAGCCTTATGCTCATGGAGCTTACAGTCTAGTGCAGGGGAGGTGGGTAATAAACATAAACCCAAATGAAGCTATAAAGTCAGGGAGCAAGAAGGGTCATGGAGAAAAAAGTAATATAGCGAGGTGAGGGGCCAAGGAGTGTCTGGGAGGTGATGGGGGCACCTCCTTTAGATATAAGATATGGCAAGCCGCTCTGAGGAGGTGACATTGAACAGAGACCTGAAGCGTGAGAAGCACCAGCCATGAGTCAAGAGATGAGGAAGGGCATTCCAGGCAGAAGGAACAGCAAGTGCAAAGGCCCTGCGGCCAGAATGAGCTATGCATGTTCAAGGAAAAGAGGGTCAGTGTGGCTGGAGTGGAGGGAGAGAAGGAATGAGAGGAAGATGAGCTCAGAGAGGGGAGCAGGGAACCACCATGCAAGGTGCCTAGGCCAAGCCCCACTGTTCTCCTCGCAGGTCTCTGACCCTATCCTCCACTTTCCAACCCCTGGGCCTTTGCACAGCTGCTTCCTCTGCTTGGAATGCCCTTTCACTTTTGCCTGGTTCTCACCTGGATTCAGCTTAGATGTCACCACCTCCAGGAAGTCTTCCTTGAATCCCCAACCTCACTCAGGTGCTTCCTCTGTGCTCCCCTACACCCAGGGCTTCCCCCTCACAGCACTCTTTAATGAGCTCCTGGGGCTGGGAAGCATGGCTTAAGCACATGCAGCAATGAACACCAGGCTTATACTCAACTCAACAAGTGCTTCCCACCCCAACAAATGGGCCCCCTCCCCTCTGCCTCCCTATAGGCACAGGGAAGCTAAGGTGAGACACTAGGGAGAGGTGGGGCCTGTGGCAAACCCACACCTTGCCAGAAGGAAATGTCACCAGAAAACCAGGTTTTAACGTGAAGCGTCCTGATTTTCCAAATCCCATGTGTTGTACAGTATATAAGTGAAAACTCAATAAAACTGTTACCCCCCCCCAAAAAAAAAACAGACAAAAACTCACATGGATGCATCAAAACAGGAGAACGTCTCATGATGACCCTTTCCAGCCTCCGAGGCCAAGTCCTATGACCTCCCACCCACATCTGACTACAGTTTTATGAGCCACATTAAACCAAAAAAAAAAAAACCAAACCGGTTGCCATCGAGTCAATTCCATCTCATAGAGACCGTATAGGGCCACATTAGGTAACCTTTATCAAAACTTCCCCACATGCTGTTACTGGCACCAGGCTAGGAGCTCACTGATCCTCCCAACAGCTCTTTGAGGTGTATGCTGTTATTATTCTCATTTAAGAGATAAGAAACTGAGGCTCCAGCAGGGTAAGTGATTTGCCTAAGGTCACAGAGCAAGAAATAGCACAGGGTGGATTCAAATCCAGATCTAGTGGCTAAGTTGCACTTGGAGGTGTCCTGCCTTTGGCCCTGCTGACTACCCCTCCTCCCACGCCCTCCCCTGGCCCCTCACCTGTTTGCGCCAGGTGGGCCTGCCCAAGGGCTTGTGCTGGGCACCTGTGGACGCACTTTGCAACAGCTGCAGCTGGGATTGGAGTCTGGGGAAGAGAGGGGGCTGCTGGGAGCCAGGCCCTTAGTCCCAGTTTGCCACCTCCCTGGAGTGGGCCTGGGGTCCTGGCAGAGCTGGGTGGGGCAGGGCCAGCAGGCAGGGTCCCACTCACGTGAACAAGCTGTCTTCCAGGTTCCGGATGCGGGCCTGGGCCTGGCCTTCAGGTGACTGGGGGTCCTGTGAGGTGGAGTCCTTGGGCCAGTCTGTTCCCTCAGCCGCCCCATCCATCAGCCAACGCTCCCGGAGAGACTTCCTCTGGGCATGGGAAAGGAAGCTGAGGCTCAGCATGAGGGCTATCCCATCCTACACAGGGTCTCCCCAGGATCCCCTGGGCTATGGAGATCTCTTATCATTCCACAACACCCCAGAGGTGACAGGCACCGTGTTTCTCCCTCAGGCTGGGATACATGCCCTCATTGTGCCCCCAGTCACCCATCGGGCCTCCAACACTGCCAGGGGAACAGACACCCCATTGCCAACCCATAGCCCTCCCAGGCTGGAAGACATCCCATCAATGCCCCCAACCCTCTAGGCTAGAATAGACACCCGTTACCCTCCCACAGCCCTCCCAAATGGGACAGACATCTCATCACCTCCTACAGCCCTCCAAGACTGGGACAGACTCCTAATCAGCCCTCTTAGGCTGAGACAGACACCCCATCATCCCCCACAGCCCTCCTAGACTGGAACAGACTCCTAACCATACCCCCCACAACCTCCTCAGGCTGGGGCAGACACCCCGAAGATGAAATCAATGTCCCCCTCGTCCCAAAGCTCGACTGGAGTTCCTTTCATTCCCCTGGAATTGGAACAGACACTTCCATTGTCCCCATCCTCTTCCCAAAGGTGGAACAAATGCCCTCATCAAGCCCCCCCCCCCCAAGCAGGCTGGGACAGAGGTCCCCAGAAGCTAAGACGAATGTCCCCAGCCTCCGAGATTTGACAGAGGCGCCTATTGTCCCCCCACCCGACTCGCACAGACACCTCACGTCATTCCCCAGGCTGGGCAGGTGCCTCTAACCTTGAGCCGCTCCACGCGGAGTTTCTCCTCCTCCAGCTCCAGGCGCGCCGCGCGGATTTCCTCCTGCAGCCGCCGCTTCTCCTGCACACAGTGGACCCGGAGCTGCCCGCGGGCCAGTCGGGGCCAGGCGTCGCCGCCTCCCAGCAGAGGGGCTCCTCCGGGGTCCCGGGCGGTGGGGCGGCAAGGCGCACGTCGGGCGGGGA